GGCTGAGCCACGTTGGGCTGCAGGTGAGGAAAAGTTGCACCAAAAATGTCAACAAGCCAACTCTCCCACAGATGGCACATGGAGCTCAACACCGTCTTCAAAGATGAGGGTTTTACAATGCACAAGGCAGCCCCCCAGGTCTGCATCTGTTTCTTTCCAAGACCTCAAGACATTTTTCCTGCTGCTTGTTACTTTTTAACCTGACGGGCAACAATTCATGAAGAAACTGCTTAATACAAGTCCACATTGTTACTTAAAGTGCATCTGGGCTGCAGGGAAAGTAGGTAACAGTGTAGTTTGATAATTCTGCATTGTAATAGTAACTTATGGACATGGAGCCCTCTGTTTTCTCACTTTCAGTGGCTCATGTAATAAAAAATAGCAGCTTTCTACAGGCTGTTGTCTCTGTTATTAATAAGGCATTACATAGTTCCCCTGTTGTGAAGATGAGAATAATACTGGAAAAAGAAAAGGTAAATAAAAATTTGTCATGCCATTCATTACCGGCCTGGGAATGGAGTGGTTCATTGTTTGATTCTGCCAGGAGAAGTCCAACATCTGGCTGTTCAGGAGGATTCCAGAGGGTGTTACTATTCCACTGCCAAAGGGACGATTCAAAGAGCTGAAAAGAATCACAGGAAATTTCAGCAAAATCATTCCAGAGATTTTTGTCCACCTCGAGGCTTTCAGGGCTCCGATTTTCTGTCTCACCTTGTCTTGACAGAGATTCTTTGGCTGTTCTCTAGGGCTGCTGAGATTGAGGAGAGACCAATGCACTTAGGAGCAGGAGACACCTATACCACAGCAGTCTGTCCCTCCCCGATTTGAGGGTTCCCCTTGCTGAGATGGATCTGCCTCCATCAGTCCCACATTTGCCACCCTCTCTCCCCAGGGAGCAGGTCCAGCTGCTGCAGTTCCATTGCCAGAGGGCTCTAAGGCTGCCCAGGGCAGAGCAGCACCAGCCCACACATCTCAGCCCCACTCTCCCGTTGCTCTGCTGCAGGACTGACTGGGACAGAGCAGCCTGGCTGATCCAGGCCTGCTCCCACCCTGTCCTGCTGAGCCTACTCCTCCTCCCTGCTCCCACCTGAGCTGCAGAGAGGGAAAAGGCCCATCCTTTACCTGGCGATGCAGGTCTGCTCCCACCCTCCCTGCTCCCACCCGAGCTGCAGAGGAGGAAGAGGCCCATCCTTTACCTGACCACGGTGACGATGAAGTCATCGGGGCCCATGACCAGGACCTGGCTGGCAGCAGCCCCACTCTCCAGGGGGAAGGGAGGTGTGGACAGGAAGGACTGGGAGTCATTGATCAGCTGGCGCAGGGAATTGGCTTCTGATTTACTTCAGCGAGGAGGAGGGAGAGAGGAAAGCAAGCTGTGAGCCTGGGGAGCTGGATGTGTCCTGGTGTGTCACACAGCTGGGGCTGGGGGTCCTGAGGGGCTGCACAAGCACAGGGGGCTGGTTTGGATCACTGAGGAAGGAAGGGTGACAGGGTGGCTCAGTCTGCACAGGGAGGCACTCAGTCTGCCATGAGTCCCCAAAGGCTCTGTCTGCCCTCACCAGGAGCAAAGCCATCCTCGATGGCCAAGGTGACAAGCCCAGCTGAATGCCAGTCTCCAGCAGAGGGACAAGGCAGCCCAAACAGCAGCCATGGCTCAGCCTGGCTCTGAGGTGGAAGCTGGGCTCAAAGCCCAGGCCTGGCCTCTCCTGCACAGGTGGGTGTTCTGCAAGGCCCCCAGAGGGCCAGGAGAGGCAGAAGTGGCACATGTGGCCATGTCCACAGGGATAGCTGTCTGTCTGGCTGTCTGTCTGACCCACTCAAAACGAATGTTTGGAGTTGTGGCAAAGTGGGAGGAACCCTCAAGCTCAAGCTGGCTCCAGGAAACCTCTGAGTGGGGACATCCTGTGACCCATCCCCAGAGCCCCGTGCCTGTGCTCAGCTGTGATCCTTGTGAAAGAATGAGCCCTGGGAGGACACTCAGGTCTGACCTTTCCTTCATAAAACACAGGCAGAGAGAGCTCAGGGCACAGCACAGCCAGGAATGATATCCAACCCACGCATCCTGCAACTTCACCTGCCTGTCCTCCTCAGACATACCTCACCATGCCTTCTGCTGTGTGAGTGACAGACACGTCACCAGATGGGTCTCCCAGGTTGCTCGCCAGACTCAGGGCTATTTTTAGTGTCTAGAGAAAGAAAGGAGGAGAGGAGGAAGAGAAGGAAAGGAAATGAGAGGAGAGGAAGAGAAGGAGAGGAAGAGAAGGAGAGGAAAAAAGAGAAGAGGAAAGGAAAGGAGAGAGGAGGGGAAAGGAAAAACATTTATGTGGCCCTGGAAATACAGATTCTAATACTCCAGACTAGAAGAGGTATCTGGTGTCCTTGTGTGTTGGCTAAAGCTTATGAGGAAAAATTACCAGAAGTCTGGGTTCTGGGAATACCTCAGAGCAAGGGCTGCCACATGTGGGTATGGGAACCAGGGAGCCTCAGTCCAGCATGGCAAACTGTGCTGGAGGAGCCAAGTGAATCCAGCAGTATTTGTACAACCACAGAATCACAGAATGGCTGGAGCTGGAAAGGACCTTAAAGCTCACCACATTCCATCCCCCTGCCATGGGCAGGGACACCTTCCCATGTTCCTCCAGCCTGGTCTTGAATGCTATGAGGGATGTGGTAGCCACAGCTTCTCTGGGCAACCTCTGCCAGCAGCTCACCATCTCACAGGGAAGAATTTCTTCCCTGTGTCCCCTCTAACCCTGCTCTCTGGCAATAGCAAGCCACAAGTGCAATATTGGCAGGAGCTGATTTCCAGATCAATGGTTCAGCCTCACTGCCAGCTGGCACACAGGGTCTCCAGGATGCCATTTACCTTCTCTTTCCATTCCTGAATGGCCACCACAACAGCAGGGCCCAGACTGAATCCCAGTGGGACAGAGGTGCTGGGCTCGTGCTGCCTCTGGACCCCAGCTCTGCTGGCCCAGCACCAGTGCTGAGCAGAAATGAGCTGCTCTGCTCTCCAGCTGCTGCCCAGCTCCTGGCTGTAAACCATCCAAAGGGCTTCAAAGAAAGCATCAGTCCCAGCACAGGTCAGGGAATGTTGGTGCAAAAGGAGGAAAAGATCTGGTTTCTCAGACATGCAGAATCCTGCCTGAGCCAGTTCACTGAAAATGGGAAGATGCAATTTCAAAGGACAGGGTTTATCCAGCCCTGGGACCACAGCATAGCCAGGGCAGAGCCAGGAGGAGAGAGAGAGCTGCTCCTCAGCCAAACCAGCCCAGAGAGAGAAAGGCTGAGCACAAACACACTCAGCATTCAGCTTGCAGGTTGGGCCATGGTCATTCAGCATCCAGAAGAGCCCATTCCCCTGCAGGCAGACAGAGAGATGTGGCTGCTGCTCTGGAATGTGCCACACAGCAAGAGCCTCTCCTTGGGTACCAGCTGTGTGGGGAGCAGAAGGTGACAGAGCTCTGGAGAAGGCAGCATTCCCATGGAGCAGGGTCCTGACACCACCCTGTGTCAGGGGCACAAGGGCCTGCAGGCCAGGCCAGAGCCCCATGGAACAGCAGAGCACTTTCACCCCAGAGCCTGAGGAGCTCTTAACCTTGGTCCTGGCTGTCCCAGGGCTGAGTGCCTGAAGCTGGCCTAGCACTGACCCTCAGCCCCATGATGAGCTGTGGGACCCAGGCAATCAGGGTGTCACATCTCCTGAAGTGACTGCCTTGGAGCTGGAGACTGCTGCTCCAGGATAACCAGCAGGTGAAACTCTTGGCAGAGGAAATAGACTCACCCAAAGCTTCCTGAAGAGAGCTCAAAAATGACTCAGGTGAGTCAACCTCCTGTGCCTCTGCACAGTGTGTGACATCTCCAGTTGCTGCATTTTTGCTGAGACACTTTCATGCACCCACTGTCCTGCCTGCTACAAGGGTGAGTTAAATCCTCAACTAAAATTCCCAGCTGATAAAGCCCAGCTGTGGATCTGTAAATTCCCAACTCATAAACCCCATCTGTGCATCTGTGGAACATCTAAGATCACAGCTCTGCTTACAGAGCAGGAGACAGAACACTTGCTCAGCCTCCTGGAAAGCTGCAAGGTTTTGGCAGGAGAGTCCTAAATACTGGAAAAACTCTGGACCTCAGAGATCAGGAGGTGGGCAAAAATGTAAACATTTTTAAAATGTGAAGTGTTGGGTAGGTTTTCCTTGTCACCACTGTGTAGAGGCTTTTCCTGCAGCACACCTTGCAGTGCCCTCAGGTGCTCTGCTGGCCAGGACCATTGGAGCTCAGAGGTGGAGGAACTTGATGGGACCACCCTCAGGTGCTGTGGGGTCATTCTGCAGAGATGACTGCGTACAAGAATGGACAAAGCCACCATTTGCTCTGAAAAAGCTCTTCCTAAGCAGGTAAGATCCTCCTGCTCAGCCTCTGAGACAGCAGCACTGCTCAGTTTTACACCTTGGCAGTCTATTTGCTCATTCTCCTCTGGGAATAACATACAAATATTTTTGTACAACCACAAAATAAATAAATCATTCTCTAGCAGCACAAGTGATTCAGCCAAATGTTGAACCTCTCTTACCTCCACCATCCAGTGCAAGATATTCCCTCTGGATCCTTGCCTTGTGATGTTAAAGCCCTCGAGGATGTTCAGTGCTGAGATCAGTGCAGGACCTGCATGTGGAGGTGGGGGGGTGAAAACCAGGTGCCCTGTGGAGGGAAGAGAAGAGGAATGAAGCTGCTTTTGTCAGACACCATCCAGAGAGAGCACTCATCCATGAGGACAGGGAAACCCTTCTGATTCAAGGGGAAATCAGAGAGAGCAACATGATTGGAGAAGGGTTTCCCAGAACATCCCTGCTGTATCTTTCTGTTTCTTCATGAAGGATGAAGGAAGCCCAAACAGGGATGCTTTTTTACTTCTGAAATTCACTTCTCATTGGTAGGCTGTTGGTTTCTAGACTGCAGTGTGGAAGAATGGAGATGGAATTGTAAAAAACCACAATGGTTTGGGTGGGAAGGGAACTTAAAGCCCATCCAGTGCCACCCCCTGCCCTGGGCAGGGATACTTTTGACTATCTCAGGTTGCTCCAAGCCCCATCCAACCTGGCCTTGGGCACTGCCAGGGATCCAGGGGCAGCCACAGCTGCTCTGGGCACCCTGTGCCAGGGCCTGCCCACCCTCACAGGGAGAGATTGCTTCCTAACATCTATTCTAAATCTCTTCAGTCTGAAATCATTCCCCTTGTCCTGTCACTTTCTGCCCATGCTAAAAGTCACTTTCCCTCATTTTTTTATAAACCTCTTTTACATACTGGAAGGCTACCCAAAAATTTGTAACATTACAGCTATAAGGAGGGTTAATACAGTGACTGCTAGAAAATATTGACATTTTAGAAACTTCTTGCATAAAGTTAGCTTTTTCCCCTTTGGGAACTGTCTTCAGCTGTAGGTCCAGCTTCTATTGAGATGTTACATGAAGATATAACCATGTTGCATCTTTAAACTTCCAAGGAAAAAAAAACATTTCAAAGTACTGAAAATCTCCTGAGCCACCTGTGATGCATCAGTGTCAGCAGGAAATAGCAGGAAACTGTCTGGAAGGCCTTTCTGCAGACATTTCAGCACAACTTTGACTTCAACTCTTGCTCAATGCTGTTGCCTCCCCTTGCAAGGTGAAGAAAAGCCTCCCCTGGAGCTGCCTGGCTGCAGGGTGAGGGTGTACCTCGATAGGTTGTGTGCACAGGCTCCTCCACAGTGACACTGTAATTGCTGAAATCCTCCTCCACCAGGACTCCTCCATGGCTCTGGACCTGCACGAGAGCAGAGCAGAGCACACTGAGCAGCTGGGCCAAGGCTCTGTGTGCATCACACCCTCACCTCAAACACCCCACTGAGATCCCTGAGCAGGGGCCAGGTCCCTTAGGTACCCTGGACATGTGTGCTCCACAGCTCTGGCCCCTGGCTCACTGTTCAGCATGGCAGGGTGCCCTGCACTCCCCTCCCAAAGCTCACCCACCCCAAGGGTGCTCCCAGGGCACTCTGCCTGCCCAGGAAGGTGGGGATTGGCCCTGCCCTGCAGCCTCCCTGCCCTGGCTGGCAAACAGGAGTGTGATAAGGGGCACTGGATACTGCCAGGATTGTGGGGCCAGGAGACAAGGAGCTGGGTGTAGCAGGTGGCCATGACTAGAAACATCAACTAGAAAAATCACTGTTCTCACCCTATCTGAAATTATTTCATCTGACAGTGGGACTGCTGTAGCCTTGATCTTCCTGTAGGACTCCTGTCAGAGGTTCAATGTACCAGGGCTGGCACAGGAAAGATGGGCCATCCTCTCCACTGCAGGTCTTCTGTGGCTGAGTCAGGGTGGACATGAGGGAGGACAATCAGGGGGTGCTGGCACTGCCCAGGCTCCCCAGGGAATGAGCATGGCCCCAGGGCTGCCAGAGCTCCAGGAGTGTCTGCACAATGCCCTCAGGGAGAGGGTGGGATTGTTGGGATGCCTGCATGCTCTGATCTCTAACCCAGCTGGCTCCCTTGGCAGGAAAACTCCCCTGGCCAAACTGAATGAATCACTGGAGCAGGACAGCTAATGCAGGGCATGCTGTGGGGCCATGCAACCCCAAAGCTGCTAAAGCTGTCTCTCCTACTTGGGATCCCCGTTTCCTTCCCAGAGAAAAGGCTGGTTGGAGCCCAGGGCTGTGCTGAGCCAGGACCTGGCTCCCCAGACCCAGCCAGTGGGAATGGGGCACAAGGAGCAGAGAAAGGGGAAGAAGCCCCAGTCAGCCACACTCTGCAGACATGCCAAATTCCCAAGAGAGCACTGTTTTGCACCTGTGCCTGGAAGCAGAGTGGGTGTTTTGGAGCTGTTGATTGCACCAGATGGATGCCCCCCCTGTGCTGGAACAATAACCACTTTGTGAAGGCAGCACTTGGCTCTGCAGCCAAAGCTGGAATTGTGCACTGGGTCCCAGAGCTTGTCAGGATCTTTGATGTGACAACCCTGGGCCTTGCTCCTCCAGAGGGAGTTTGTGCTTCTCTGTGGCAGCCCCCAGGTCAGGGAAACACAGTGACAAAGCAGGGTTTAGCTGTGGGGATGCTCACAAGCTTGGGACTCCTCCTGCTCTCATCCTTCACCTCTGCTGTAGTTCAGGTGAACTGTGTTTGGAAATCACAGAGCCCACAGATGTCTGAGGCTTGAGTGGAAAGAACACATTCCAGATTCTTGATGAGCAATTGAAGGAGCACCACTTGAGCCACGGTGGCACAATAAAATGGTGCTCCAACTATCCCTACTGCAGCCACACAGATATAAAAGTTGTTATGGTTTGTTGGGGGCTTTTTTCACCAGACTTACTTTGTCTGTTCTGATATTTTTTTCAGAGCACCTCTAACAGGAGTTAAACTAGGGCAACCCCAAGTAGAACCAAGACTTTCTAATCCTCTGCTCACAAGACTCACAAGGTTTTTAAACCATCTTCCTGGAGTCTGTATTCTACAGTCCCATCAACCACAACAACTTGTTTCTCAACAGCCTCTTGTCCTGGGGGAAAAGGCTTTGTCACCCAAGTGAACAGAGCCCAAAATGATTTTTGTTTTCCTTCCAGACTGTCCTGGTTACAGAGGAAATGGAGGTTTCACTTCTGTAGACTGTGGGAATGGCCTGCGTGTCAGTACTGCCATCGCTGCAGGGACAGAAAGGAAAAGGAGGCATCTGTCCCCATCATTGTGCTGGCACTTGGCTTGTCTCCAGTTTGTCACCTTAAGCAGGTGGCAGCCCCAGGCTGGCAGGTGCCAGGGGCAGTCCTGGCTCACCTCAGAGACCATCTCCTGGGTCAAGTTCCCGCTGTAGAAGGCTGCCACCCCCTGTGTCCCCAGCAGCTGCAGCACGGCCGCCAGGTCCAGGCGCCGCACGAACATCCCGGGCAGCAGGGGCTGCCCCCCGGGCAGGAACAGCTCCTGGAATCGCTCCGAGAGCTCCAGCTCCTTCAGCTCACTCAGGGCTCTGGCTGCAGGAGAGAAGGGGAAGGACATCCAGAGAAAGCAGGGGTCAGGAAGGCACAAAGGACCTGCAGTCACTGAGCACCTGATGGGGATGTGGGAGACCTGCTGCTGCCTCTGGCCCTATTGCAAAACTAGAGGGGAGCTGGACCATTGATCCTTGGGAACTGGGAAAGAAACCCAAAGAAACCCCAGAACCCTTCCCTGCCTGGCCCTGGGCACTGCCCAGTGTGGTTTGTCTGCCCTGGCTCTGCCCAGCCATGGCAAAGGGCTCCTGTGTGGCCGCCACCACGCTGTCCCTGCCAGCCTGTGGCTCACATATTGCTCAGCTCCCAACAGCATCCAATCCCCACGTCCACAAAGCCCTGATTTCCCATGACTAACCCCCTGCATCCCCAGCTGCCTTGCACAGTGCACTGCCCCGAGCTGCCCATCAGGTACTCACCCAGGTCATGTGTGACATTAAAGCCATTCTGGGCAACATCGGCCGTGAGGCCCAGCAGCTCGGACCAGGGGAGCCTGCCAAGGGAGAGAGGACAAGGAGAAACGGGCCCTGGGGGGCTGCAGTGGGCAGGGGGCTGGCACAGGGCTTGGCTCTGCACTCAGGACTCCTGGCACACCAGGCTGTGGGACCAGCAGTGGCCAAAAGGAGCACTGAGCTTTCAGTGTTTCTCCTTAACAGGATCATGCCAGTGCTCCAGGATGTGCTCCAGAGAGGAATGGCAGTGCATGGATGGGGAAGGGCTGTGCCAGCAGCAAGAGCTCAAGCCAGGCTCTGGTGGTGAGCAAGTCACTCAGATCCCTCTGCATCCCAAGAGAGCACCAAGGACAGGCACACCTCTTAGGGTGCAGCTAAAGAGACAATGAAAATGCACAGACATGCAGGGCCATGTGCTGCAGCTCTAACAGAACATTCATTGCACATCTTCTTAGCCAACAGTTCACTTGTAGAAAACATGACCAAGCTGAATTTTTTCTTTTGTACATGAAATAGCAAAAAAACAAACATCTCTATCAACACAAGCCTCTAAGTACCTCTTTGCTGATGGTTTTGAGTGGTGGCAGAGAACATGGTCTGATGGCAAGGGCTCATGTGCTCCCAGCTTCCCACAGGGGCCCCAGGGCACAGCCTGTGCCAGCCTCATGTCTTACCTGCCATGTAACTGGTGTGCCTGGTGCATTCCTAGGATCATGCCTGGCACCCCTACGAGCAGACCTGGCTGTAAAACAGGAAGGACAAAAAGGAAGAGAGTAGTCTCCTTTCCATGAGGACACAGGACACGGGACACGGTCCCCAGCTGCAAGGGGAGGTGCAAATCATGTTTACTTTGGAATTATCTCATAGTTAGGAGAGGGGAAGAGTCTGTAGCAACACACTTTACTATGGAATAAAAGATTTTGGAAGGAGAGAGGCAAATTCAATCTTGTTCTCAACCCAGTTTGGTCAGGAGAGAGAACTCAGCAGAACAACCTGGGCTTATGCTTCTTCCTGGGGCTCTTGTCCTCCCAGCACCCTGGTGCCACAGAGATGCACCCCTTTATTCCCCAAACCTCTGCAGGCATTCCGGGGCTGATAAAGAAGTTTTTCCCTAGATTCCTTATGTCTGCAGGGCCCAGGATCTCCCATGATGAGAGAGACCTCCTGCAGCCTTGCTGGGCATCTGCCCCTCAGCCTGCAAGTTGGAGGGAGGAGGGTTGGATTGGAGCCAATGGCTGCGGGACAGGTTCTCACCTTGGTGTCCTGCTGCAGGTCCCGTTCCAGCGGGATGCCCAGCGGAGCCACCTCACGGAAGTCGATCACCCAGCTCCTGTTCTTGCGGATGTCGTGGAGCAGCATCACCCCGCCCCTGCGGCGACACGGGCTCAGGGCGCGGCACGGCCGCACTGCCCGGGGGCACCGAGGGCACGGCCGGCGGGACAAGGGGCGCTGTGCCAGCTCACCTGCCCCAGCAGGGCCACCAGGTGGCCGGAGCAGCAGCGAATGCTGCTGGCCTTGCCTAGGGCACACACCAGGACAGCCAAGGCAGGGTTGGTGTGGGACGCAGGCAGCCCTGTGCTGAGCCTGGTGATGCTGGAGCAGTCCCTGCCTGCCTGGTCATGGAGCCATGGCTCTGTTCCACCGCCAGGCTGGGACCATCTGCGATTTTCTTTCTAAACTGAGCAGTTTTGCAACAAAAGACGGTGTTTGCTTACAGCAGCAATGGGTGGTGCAGCTGGAGCAGTGATCAGGCGGCTTGGGTTTATACAACCTGCTGAGCCCTCCTGCAGAGCCAGGAGCAGCAGGCTCACCTGGATGCCACCCTGGGAAGGAGGCCTGGAGAAGGACACCCCTCCCTGGCAGCCTCCTGGAGCTGGGCTCAGACCTTGGCCCCAGGAGAAGAGCTTGGGGAAGGCAGAGCTCGGGCTCTGAAAGCACTGGGGCTGAGCCCAGGCTGTTTGTAGCTGCTGGCACAGCTCCCCTGCCTGGGGCCATGTCTCCCTGTGCCCCTCACCAGCCCTCTCGAGCCTGGGGCTTCAATGCTCCCTGCAACCACTTCAGCAGAAACAATTCCCTGCCTGGGGCTTCTGTCCTGTGCAGACAGCATGGAGCACAGGAAGGGTCACTGTGACCACATCCACTGCCTCATGTCACAGCCCTGGCACCACACCTCGAGCCTGGCACTGCCATGGAGGCATTTCTCAGCTGCAGAGGGACTTTTTACAAGGGCAGATGGTGACAGAACAAGGGGGAATGACTTTACACTGACAGAGGGCAGGTTTACATCAGGTATTTGGAAGAAATATTCCTCTGTCCAAGGAGGAGGTAGGGGAACCAGGTACTGGTGCAGGCTGCCCCATCCATGGAAGTGTCCAAGTCCAGGCTGGATGGGGCTTGGAGCACCTTGGGATAGTGGGAGGTGTCCCTGTCCCTGGCAGGGGGTGGCACTGGATGGGCTTTAAGGCCTCTCCACCCCAAACCATTCTGGGATTCCATGAAGCCCCTCCCTTGGGGACAGCCGAAGCCAGGAGCAGAGGGGGAGTGCCCCACACTTACCCTCCCAGCCCCGAGCTGTGGGGGTTGACGATGCCGGCACACAGGGCCGAGGCGATGGCGGCGTCCACCGAGGAGCCGTGCCGGGCCAGCACGTGTGTGCCCAGCGCCGTGCAGCGCGCCGCATCCGTCACCACGGCACCGCGGTGGAACAGCTGCGGGACAGAGGGCACGGCTGGCACTGCTGCTGCTGCCGGGCACTGCTGCTGCTGCCCGCCTCTGTGCACACCCACCCGTGCGCCACCCGAGGCCTGGGGCTGATTCAACCAATGCCAGTGGGCACCGTGCATCCCTTGGCACATCCCTGGCAGCCACGGGCACCGGTTCACACAGCTTTCCACACTTTGTGTGCCAGGCTGGGGCCACGTCTCCCTCTGCCCCTCACCAGCCCAGAGCTGTCCCTGTGCTGCAGCCAGGCAGTCACCAGGAATGGGGATACAGCTGTAAAGAATGCAGCAGGGCCCCGGGACCACAGCGTGTTCTCATCCTTGTGCCAGAGCTGTGCTAATGCAGTGCCATTGTGGATGCCATGGGACAGAGAGAGAGAAACGGCAAGCGTTTCTCACAGCAGCTTGAGAGAAATTTCAGGGAGCTGGAAATATGCTATAACCTGTTGACTATAAACAATTTGCAGGTGCTGTTTTTCTACTTTATTTTTCTGTTCCTCTCAAGGACAGTGTGTGAGAAAGACGTTTCTGTTAGTTAGCCAATAGATAGAATCTATTGTACCACCGTATAAAAACCACATGGTTCTTTTGAATAAAGCCTTCTTTGCCTTTGCTACGATCCTGCCTCTCGTCTGTTCCTGCCCCAACCCCGGCGCACGAGTGACAATGCCATGATATTTTAAAGAGTTGATTTTGTCCCTATGGCACAAATTGCAGCATCTCAACAAGAGCCAGGCTGGCCCGGGGACATGAAAAGACAGAAGGGCCATGGCTACATGAGGAGATGATGATGGTGACTCCTGGCTGACTGTGACCCTGGCAGAGGTTCTGCAGGAGGATCCAGTCCTGTGGCCATACTGCCTTGGCTGTGCTATCTAGCACTGGGCTGTGGGACAGATTAGCAGGAGGTTCACCTCTGTTTTCAGCTATTTCCCTGCTTAGTCCTGGATGAATCTTCCAGAGGTGAATCTGGGCATGTATGCCCATAATCCATAAAACTCTGTCCACGTGGACAAGATGCCTACTGTTTAACTAAGGATTATTTTCTGAGAGCACTCCCATCTGGTTCAAACCACAGCTGCAGTCACAGCAGTGGGGTTTTCTGTTTCCCCCCAGCAGCACCCCCAAACCTGCCTGATACAGCCCCCCACACCTGACCATGGGGCAAGCTCTGAGAGTCTGGCTCGGCTCTCCAAACACAACCTCCAGGTGCAGGAAAAGCCTTTCAAGCCAATTTGGGGTGGAACCAGAGGGAGACTGAGCACCCGGGGCCTCACTGACACCAGCCATGGTTCCCCAGTACTTCCCTTGCTGAACTTGTGACCAGGAGGAAAGTCAGGGAGCTCTCCCATCTTTGGAGCCAAAGCCCAACCACAAAGCCACAGTTTAGTCTTACCTGAGGGTCCCCAAAATAGATCTGCATGATGAGGGCCACGGTGACGCCCGTGGCGAAGGTCAGGCAGGCGGTGATGATGACGGTGAGCCCGTCCTGGCGGCAGCTGCAGTCCCCTGAGAAGGGGTCCTTGCTGGTCTCCTGCAGAGGGGACACGTCCTGGCTCCCCATCTCCGAGGAGGACGAGGGCAGGCGCTGCAGGCGCGCGGACTTCAGGAAGGAGTCTGGGTCTTTGTGAGCAACAGGGAGAAAACAGGTGTGAGTTATTGAGCAACTTGGGGCTCTTATTGCAGTGTTTACCCAGCACTAGCATTACACTGAGCCCCTTCCAGCACGGCTATCACCTTCCCTATTGATCCCAGCCATAAGGAGCCTTTCTGGCTCAGATACTGCTTTGAGTCATTCTACTGATCCCTTTCTTTAGCTCTGGTTATTCCAAACTGACTTCCCTGGAGATTAAGAGAGACAAGAAACCCTTGAATTTTTACTCCCTTTCAGTCTGTTCATCAGCCTTTAGTGACAGGCCACTCTTATGCTCCATTTGGAGGGGTTCTTAACACAGCAAACAGGTCTTTGAAATGCAGCAGGACTGAAGAAGAGGAAATTAAAGATTTGAAAAAAGATGCAGCAGCTTAACTTGGAGCTGTGATTGAGCTAAAGCACCTGAGCAAAACAGAGGTAAAGCAAAACATTTGGCCTGGGAAGAGAAAATCCCTCTAGGGAAGCGAGGGCAGGGAGGAGCAAACCTGCAAACCGGAGGCCCTGGAACATCCACTGACTCCTCTGCAGGAAGGACTCTGCTTTAATCCTTGCTTCCTCTGGCAGATGAGGCCCACTGTGAAATGAAGCCACACACTGGACACCCAGCTCCAAGATGGCAAAGCAGTGTGGCAGGAGTTTGCTGGGCCTCAGCAGGATGAAAAAGTCTCTTTTTTGCTCTGAAAGATGCTTTGAATCTCTGTGAGCGTCAGCTGCTGCCCTTGTGCTGGGAGGCCACCGGCTGAGGATGCCCTGCCTGTCCCGGTGCTGCCGGGCACACGGAGCTGCTGGGGCAGCTGTGAGCTTGTGCCCATCCCTCACGGGCTCTGAAGGGGACCAAGCAGCTCAGGGCATCATCCAGGGCTCCTGGAAGAATTTTTTCAGGGGCTGCAGTACTCTCTGCATCCGTAGTGGAAGAAGAGGCACCAAGTGGAAAAGACAAGATGAGAAGCTTGTCCCTCCATACAGATGTTTCCTGGGCTTGGAAAAGGAGAGGGGAGTGAGCAGGAAAGCCCACATCCCCCATCAACTGCCTGCCTGTCTGCTCTGGCAGGTGCTGGGTACCACCCTGGGCACTGCCAGCCCAGTCCTTGTCACCAGACCTGGCTGCAGCTCTCCTGAGGCCAGGGAGGGAAGGAGTTCTAATTTCAGTGATGCTGCAACCTGGAGTAAACTCCCACAGCCAGGAAATCCCCTCAGAGGGAATTTAATCTCATTTGTGCTGCGGTGGTTTAGGAGTGGGACTGGGAAGGGCTCAGCTTTGGCAGCCTGAGCCTCTGAGCACACACTGAGCCCCTCATGGGCTTGTCTGGTCCAAGTGAGCTGGACTGAGCAGGAGGACTGGCTGGTGGCCTCAGTGGGGGCCACAACCGGCCTGGCAGGGGCTGCCATTGGGGTGGGATGTCACAATGTCACATACAGCCCCTGGCACACACGAGTGAGGCCCCAGTCCCACCTGCAGGGAAACAGTGAGGAGTGAGCTGGACTCCAGGACACCATCCCTCTGCTCTGTGACAGGCCAGCCCAGCATGAGGGGACACGAATAGCTAGGAAGCAACTGTAGAAGAGGGCAGACCACAGCCCTCCCACTGTGCAGCACCTCCATTCTCTGCCACAGACATCCTATTTTTAGTCTCTGTGACCACTGGTGTTGCACAGGGACAGCAGAGCTGTGGTGTGGGGATGGGAGCAGCTGGAAGGGGGCAGCCTGCATAGCCAATGCACAGCTGCCCATCCCAACACCAATGTGCATGCTTTGAAAAAGAGGCCACCAAATCCCACTTGGCTTCCAAGGGGCCGTGAAGGAGTCGTGGCTTTATGTGGGAGCCAACGCTCTGGAGAACCAGGGCCACCTCAGGTCTGGAGCTGCTGCAGAGGAGACAGCAGAGACTGGAGCTGCTGGGGGGCTCTGCAGGTGCTCCTGCAACAAGTGTCAGGAGAGCAGCAGCTCTCTTCTCCAACCACCCCACCTGCAGGCGTTGGCGCTGCCAAAACTGCACCAGATTCTGGCTGTGTGACAAGAGGCCTCGTGCTGCCAGGAGAGAGCTGCTCCCACACTCTGCAGGCAGCGGCTTTGCCTCGATGGTCAGGAGAGCACAGGGTGGGAATGGGTAATGGGAGCTTCACCCGTGGGCATGGAGGGACAGGGCGCAGGGCAAGGGGAGCCTGGGGCTGTGCAAACATGGGCTGGGGGCTGACAGGCACACGGACTGGGAACCAGCCCCAGGGGGAAGGGCAACACCGCCAGAAGAAACACGACACGGGGGAGAAACAGCATTTCTCTCAACTATGGAGGAGGAAGCAATCAGTTAAAAATAGGCAGAGGATTTTCTCACAGATCAAACGATCACCTGACTTTATTCCAGCTGAGCACCGGAGGGATGAAGCATCCCGAGCTGAGGGATGTGCAAGGAACACCCCAGGGTGGGGGGATGCTCAAGGAGCATCCCAGGTGGAGAGCCGCTCAAGGAGCATGCAAGAAGGCCATGCACAAGTGGTCCAGGCCGGAAGGTCGAGCAGGCTGTGGGAGAGCACACTCCAGGCTGCCCTGGGAGCTCTGTGCCGAGTCCCGGCATCTCTGGCTGCCTTCCGTCCCTCGGGGTGAAGGCGGGGCCG